CCCAGCTAATTTTTGTATTTTTAGTAGAGAAGGGGTTTCACCATGTTGGCCAGGATGGTCTCGATCTCTTGACCTTGCGATCTGCCCACCTCAGCCTCCCAAAGTGCTGAGATTACAGGTGTGAGCCACTGCACCCGGCCCATTGGCTGCATTTTAAATGCTTGCTTAACATATCTGATTAGTGGCTATCATATTAGGAAGCAAAGATGTAGCACATTTCCATTATCATAGGAAGTGCTATTGGACAGTGTTCTTCTGTATTTTAATACCCATAAAAGGCTAAGCCTTTTGGGGAGTTCTAATGCTATCAAATGTAGAATCTACAAGTATCTATAACAAGGTATCTTTATGAGACCGTACTTTTAAAAAGCCAAGAAATATTATGTCAAATTTAGTGAGCTTTCTGAAAAAAAAATTTGATGGAAGAATTCTTTTAAATGAAGTTAGTTTTGAAATTGGTGTTCATAATTTTTATTACTGATTTGTATATTGTTGCAATACGTATAGGCTTTTTTTCTTTACTGAGGAAGATGTATTAAAATCCTGTGGGAATGGATCATAACTTATGTACAGAACTGCTGAAACTATATTAAAATCTATTTTTCTCACATGTATACTGTGTAGTTGGTAAAGCATATCAGTTTTTGTGAGTTACTTGAAATTTTCTCATCTCCACTGATGGGTAATGGAAAAGTTGATCCTTCTATCTTTCCTTCATCAAACTGTCAACAAGGCAGCTTCTTAAGTGCTATTTTTCATTGTATTTAATACTCACGTTTTTATGCATGCACTCTTCATTGTGTTTAATACAGATTTTGTGTGTTTAGGTATCAGAGAGATGCAAAAACATATACAGGGAGAGATAGAGAGAGGCAGACAGAGAGATTTAGACATGCTAAGGAAAATACTAAACAAGAAGTAAAATATTAGTTTTATCCTTTCAAAGTAAATAAAATTATAAGAGAAAAAAGATAACTATTTGCATTTATAATTTAGTATATAATATTTTCCCTAATATACTAAACCCATGCCAGCTAGACTTTCTGGGCATAAAATTGAGACATTTTTAGCATTCTGACACCTTCCTAGTATCTAGCTCCATGTGCCACCCTAGAGTCATTTATGCTAGATTTGAGGTCCAGGAATCAAACTAACCAAAGGTACAAAAGTTCAGGATTAAGATGAGAGGGAGATTTTAAAAAAGATCATCTCAAGATCTCTTGAGAGTCACCACTGTTATGTTTTGTGGCTTCTGCAAGGAAACCTCAAAATTCTCTTTGTTCAGAGTTCTGCTTTTTGGCTTTGGCATGAAGATAGTTGAACAAACAGACCTGGCCTTTAACATCATGGAACCAAAATCCATGTGATGGAAATAGCTTGTGAGATTCAAACTTGCTCAAAATTAAATAGGCAATTTGCAGAAGAGGATGACCAAAGAATAGGGAAATACAAATTAAAGAAACAATAAGATACAATTTTGCATCCATCAGATTAGAAAACTATTAAGTGTGAGGAGCTGGGATTGTCATAAACTACCTGTGAGAGTCTAAGTTTATAAAGCTGCTTTGAGAAAAGGTTAGCTATATCTAGCGAAGTTGAAGATGCACATAGTCTATGAATTAGCAATGCAACTTTTATAGTTATACAGTTATATCCTAAATAAACTTTTGTACATGTACAAGAACATTCGCTATAGCATTGTTTATAATAGGAGTAAAAATAAAGAAGCAGTCAAATAAGCAAGAGTTATACATATCAACATGTGTAGATTTTAAAACATAATATTAAATGAAAAAGACACAAAATTATATATCTAGTACATGATAAAATTTATATAAACTAAAAACATGTAAAAAATACCATAGATATTTTCTTATAAACTCATGTAGTAATAGTGCAAAAACATGTATTGACTTGATAAACACTAAATTTAGTGGATTAAATTATAAAAAAATAAAAGCAAGCTCTGCCTCAGACGCACAGGAGACAGCTGGATAAATGTGACTTGTCATCATCTTCTGGTATTGGAGCTACCAGCTTTTCTCAGACTATCCATGCCACTTTTTGCTTCGCTTAGAGAAGTTTTATAGCTTGCCTAGGCCTCGTATCTGTTTACAGCGTGTCTGTTGGCCTTTTTCTGACTTCTTGTCACAGGATTGGTGAGGGTACCAAAATCTTTAGACAGTCAAGTGGAGGAGGTTCTTGTTACAAAAGCAAAAATTATTGCATTAATGTGCCATTTTAGATAGCACCTAGGGCGTACTCTACAAATCCCAACCCTATTTTCATTTGTTTATATTTTCATTAACTCCAATCGTCTGGCAAGCTTTTTAAGAGGCTTTCATATGCTAGGTAATAGGAATACAAAGATGATAAAGAAATGGTCCATATACATAAGGCGTCCATAGCCTATAATAGTATACACAAATATGTATATATAAATTCATGCTTCAGAGGATGCTAAAGAGGAATTGGTTCAATTATTATTTAATTTTTCCCCAATTAAGTAAAAAAAATTATCTCTTGAAGAATCATTTGCATTTATTGATCAGCGTCACATTTCTCTCATGTTTTAAGCCCGTGACAACTAGGGTTAGTATTTATATTTCTAGCCCAGACCTCTTTCTTGAGCTCTAAATTTATATACTTATTTTTCTACTGTACATTTCTACTTGGAAACTGGAAAGTTTTAACATGTCTAAAAGGGAACTCCTGATTTTCTTTCCCAAATCTACCACATCTAAAATCTTTCTCATCTCAATAATGGCAACTCTGTACTAGGTGCTCAAGTAAAAAACTTGGAAATCAACTTTGATGTCTCACTCTGGTACATATTTTCCATTTGTTCCTCTTTTAATCCTTCTAAACTTGCTCTGTGCTCTAGGAGCTCAACTTTTATGGACAGTGTTAGTGATTTCCCTTCCTCTTTGACTTCCAGTTGGGTTCAATCAATGTGAGACACTGTGGAGAACAGAAGAGTGGTGTCAGTGTCTCCTCCCTGGTCTTAGATCTTTTCTTGCCAGATTACTATAGACTGGTTGTAACCCTTTCATGGCCCTCTTCATACAACTACATTCTCCAGGTTCCAGGAACCATTCTCTCATCTTAACCTTTAAGCCTGGATATAATGAACAGCTTCTTCCTATAACTATCTCCTGGATACAGTATTATCCCTTTTTGTTTTCCTTAAACTTTGCCCCATATTTTTGTAAACAGTTTTTTAAAAATTTAACTCTCCTCAAATTATCCAGCTTAAATTTGCCACTGCCATCACCTTGGTCCAGGCCATTAATCTTTCTTACTTGGATTATTGTAAAAGCCTCCTAGCTTAATTAAATCCCTGCTTTCTCCCTTGTCTCCACAGTCTGTTTTTCACACTGAAGCCAGACTAACCTTTTAAAAATGTTAAGTCACATTGCTCCATTGCTGTAAAACCTTCTAACACATCCCTATATTAAT